GTGCTCCCCCCTCCTGCAGGCATCACTCCCGTGCTCCCCTCTCCCTCGGGCATCTCCCCCATGCTCCCCCCTCCTGCAGGCATCACCCCTGTGCTCCCCCCTCCTGCAGGCATCACCAACGTGCTGTCCCTATTCTGCGCGGCACTCACAGAGCACAAGATCCTTTTCCTGTCCCAGAGTTATCAGCGGCTGGCCGACGCCTGCCGGGGCCTCCTGGCGCTGCTGTTTCCCCTGCGGTACAGGTGCCCACCCCCACCCCCACCCCTACCCCACTATCTGGTGTCCAGGCCCCTGCTGGCCCCACCCCCTCTGCCATGTTGGCTTGCGCTGAGCCCTGGCCTGTTGCAGCTTCACCTACGTGCCCATCCTGCCGGCGCAGCTCCTGGAGGTGCTCAGCACGCCCACCCCCTTCATCATCGGTGTCAACGCAGCGTTCCAGGCTGAGACGCAGGAGCTGGTGAGCCACGCCCTCGCCCAGCCCTGACCAGGACAGGCACTGCCCACTGACTGCCCCCCTGACACCAGTTGGGGGGACCCTGGAGGACACTGCCGATGAGCTCACTGACGACTCTTTGATAGCCCTGGTCTCATGCCGCTTCTGTCCACAGCTGGATGTGATCATTGCGGATCTGGATGGAGGGACAGTGACGGTTCCCGAGTGTGTGCATGTCCCACCCCTGCCTGAGCCCCTGCAGAGCCAGACGCACAGCATTCTGAGCATGGTGAGGGGGCTACATGGGCACAAGGAGACGGGGGCCAGGGGGGTGTAGAGAGCACAAGGGTGGACTGGTGTGCTGTTGACGGGGCCTCTGAAGTGTGGAGCACGAAGATGAGTGGGTTGTGGGGTGCACAGGAATATGAGGACAGAAGAGTGGGGAAGACGGGGGTAGGACATGGTGGGCGGGGACATGAGCGTCTGGGAGGTACACGGGTGTGAGGGCTCCATGTTGAGACCCAGCACCAGCATTTGGTGGCCCTCCAACCACTGCTTTATCAGGTCCTTGACCCAGAACTGGAGTTGGCCGACCTTGCCTTCCCACCCCCGACGACACCATCCTCTTCCCTGAAGATGCAGGTGGGGACTCTGCTAGAGGCCTCACACCTCAGGCGTGCCCACTCCCACGCTCTGGTTTGCTCTGGGCAGTGGAGGCTATTGGGGGACTGGCAGGAGCCGGGGGTGACGGCAGCTTCAGGGCGGGGTCGTGGGAGGGGGGCTGGGTTGGCCCTCACCAGCCCCGCCCCCAGGACAAGGAGCTGCGCGCCGTCTTCCTGCGGCTGTTCGCCCAGCTCCTGCAGGGCTACCGCTGGTGCCTGCACATCGTCCGCGTGCACCCCGAGCCAGTCATCCGCTTCCACAAGGTGGGGCCCGAGCTGCCTGGTGGGGTGGCAGGGCGCCCCGTCGGCCGAGCGCTGAGCTCCTGTGTGCCCCTAGGCAGCCTTCTTGGGCCAGCGGGGCCTGGTGGAGGACGACTTCCTGATGAAGGTGCTGGAAGGAATGGCCTTCGCCGGCTTCGTGTCGGAGCGTGGGGTCCCCTATCGGGCCACGGACCTGTTTGACGAGGTGCACCTTCTGTGTGTGGGAGAGCTCCCCAGCCAGCGGCCAGCAGGGCAGCATGACTGGAGGGGGGCTGCTGCCCTTGCCAGCCTGCCTGACTTTGCCTTCCGCAGCTGGTGGCCCATGAGGTGGCACGGATGCGGGCCGATGAACACCACCCTCAGCGAATCCTGCGGCACGTCAGGGAGCTGGCCGAGCAGCTATACAAGAATGTAGGGAGAGGCTGCAGAGGGGTGGGGGACAGGATGGGGCGGGGCTGGAGGGGACGTGCTGTGCCCACTTCCTGCTGCACCCCCCACAGGAGAACCCCTACCCCGCAGTGACCATGCATAAGGTGCAGAGGCCGGCAGAGGCCAGTCACCTGCGCCGCCCGCCCAGGCCCTTCCCCCGGCTGGATGAGGGCACTGTGCAGTGGATCGTGGACCAGGCGACTGCGAAGATGCAGGGAGCACCCCCGGCCGTGCGGGCTGAGAAGAGGACCACTGTGCCCTCAGGGCCCCCCATGGGTGCGTGAGGAGGGCCGGGGCTCTGTGGTTCTCGCCAGCATGGCTAGAGCTAGGGTTACTGAGCACTCTGTCCCAACAGCTGCTATCCTGGAGCGGAACAGTGGCCTCCATGCCAACAGTGCCCGCCGGCTAGAGGTGGTCAGGAATTGCATCTCCTATGTGTTTGAGGGAAAGATGCTTGAGGCCAAGAAGGTGGGCCTGGATGTGGGGCAGCACCCTTGTGGGCTGGGGACTGCCCTGAGGGCCTCTTGTGACCACTGTGGGGCCAGCAGATAGGTGGGGACCTAGGGTAGGATGCAGGGGAAGGACCTGCCGCAGGTTTGGGGAGTTAGAGTTCCCATGTTGGGTGTCCACAGCCCTTCCGGGAGAGGACATGGACTTCTCATGTTGTGGGGTGGGGGTCTGAGGGGGCAGGGCTCATGGAGGGGTGGGCACATGGAGCAGAGGACCCCAGGAGAGGAGGAGCATGTGTAAGGGTGGGTGCAGAGGGGAGGGGGGCACGGAGGCTGTGGGCACAGAAGCCCCCCTGCGGTGCCTGGTGGTGCTGCTCTGAGGGTTGGCACCAGGTTAGTCCCTGGGCCCCAGGCTGGGTGGTTTGTGTTTCCCTCTGTCCCTGGCCTCTGGGCCGCCTGACTGGATGGGGCTGGGTCTCTGCCAGCCCACGGGGTGGCCCCGAGCTGTAGGCAGTGACCCGGCCCTGTCCCCAGCTGCTGCCAGCCGTGCTCAGGGCACTGAAGGGCCGGGCTGCCCGGCGGTGCCTGACACAGGAGCTCCATCTCCACGTGCAGCAGAACCGGGCGGTCCTGGACCACCAGCAGTTCGACTTTGTTGTCCGCATGATGAACTGCTGTCTGCAGGTGAGGCCGCAGGCTGGGGGCCTTCTCTGGGGGCGTGTGGCTGTGGGTGGGAGTGACGGGAGGGGGAGGCGGTGACTGGCCCGCCCAGCAGCACTCACCAGGCTGGCCTCTGCCCAGGACTGCACTTCCCTGGATGAGCATGGTGTTGCGTCAGCCCTGCTGCCTCTGGTCACTGCCTTTTGTCGGGTGAGTATTGGTGGTCCTACCAGCCCAGAGTCCTTGCGTACCAAGCTCTTGCCTTCTGACGCCATCCTGACCCCACAGAAGCTGAGCCCTGGTGTGACACAGTTTGCCTACAGCTGCGTGCAGGAGCACGTGGTGTGGAGCACACCTCAGTTCTGGGAGGCCATGTTTTATGGGGACGTGCAGACCCACATCCGGGCCCTCTATCTGGAACCTGCTGAGGACCAGGCCCTCTCCCAGGTTAGAACTGGGAAGGTGCGGCTTGAGTGGGAAGAGGGGCTGGGGCAGGGCTGCTGAGCGACCTCGCCTCCTCCAATGGGGGGTGGACAGCCAGGCTCATGAGGCGGGGCACTTTTGCAGGAAGTGGGGGAGGTAGCCCAGCTAGAGGAGCGGTCAGCCCTGGACGTGGCCTCGGAGCAGCGGCGTCTGTGGCCAACGCTGAGCCGGGAGAAGCAGCAGGAGCTAGTGCAGAAGGAGGAGAGCACGGTGTTCAGCCAGGCCATCCACTATGCCAACCGTATGAGCTACCTCCTGCTGCCCCTGGACAGCACCAAGAGCCGCCTGCTGCGGGACCGCGCAGGCCTGGGGGACCTGGAGAGCGCCAGCAACAGCCTGGTCACCAACAGGTGGGCCTGCTGCTGTGGAGGGCCCTGGCCAAGGTCGGAGGAGGGCTTGGAGAGCAGGAAAGGGTTCCAGGGGCTGGGGAGGGGGCTCGAGTCCGTGCCCACCTGCTTTCCCCAACAGCATGGCAGGGAGCATGGCGGGCAGCTATGACACGGAAAGTGGCTTTGAAGATGCCGAGACCTCAGATGTGGCCGGGGCTGTGGTCCGATTCATCAACCGCTTTGTGGACAAGGTCTGCACAGAGAGTGGGGTTACCAGCGACCACCTCAAGGGGCTGCATGTCATGGTGCCAGGTATGGGGGGGTCTGGGACAAGGCTCCTTTCCACGGGGCAGCTGTGAGCAGCCCGGCGTGAGACCTCCTTTCCTGCAGACATTGTCCAGATGCACATAGAGACCCTGGAGGCTGTGCACCGTGAGAGCAAGAGGCTGCCCCCCATCCAGAAGGTGGGTCCCTGGTGCCAGAGCCCTGGTTGAGCAGAGATTGTCTCAGGACTTGGGTGTGTAGGCCTGGAGTTGTTGGGGTGGGGGTCTGTGAGGGCTGCAGGCATGGAGTCGGGGCCAGGGGAGGGGTCTGGGTGGGAGTCTGGGGGGCTTCTAGGAGGGTTCCAGACATGGAGTCGGGGCTGGGGGAGGGATATGGTGGGGTTCTATGAGGGCTTCAGGCATGGCGTTAGGGTGCAGAGGGGTCTGGGTCGGAGTCTGGGGCCTGGGAGGTGGGTGCTCCAGCTAAACACCTGTGCATCTGGGCCAGGAGTCTCTGGGTAGTGGACACCTGGGCCCCATGTGAGCTGAGGCTGCTCTTTTCCTCGTAGCCCAAACTGCTGCGGCCACACCTGCTGCCTGGTGAGGAGTGTGTGCTGGACGGGCTCCGTGTCTACCTGCTGCCTGATGGACGAGAGGCTGGTGCAGGCGGCAACGTGGGGGGACCTGCGCTGCTGCCCGCTGAGGGTGCAGTCTTCCTCACCACGTACCGAGTCATTTTCACAGGGATGCCCACTGACCCCCTTGGTGAGTCTGCCCCTGCCCCTGTCTGCAACCCCCCTGCCTAGAAATCCTCAAGAGAAATAGCCCCCTGACTCTGGCTGTCCTCAGTGGGCGAGCAGGTGGTGGCCCGCTCTTTTCCGGTGGCCGCACTGACCAAGGAGAAGCGCATCAGCGTCCAGACCCACGTGGACCAGTTCCTCCAGGATGGGCTGCAACTCCGCTCCTGCACGTTCCAGGTGGGGTGTGGGGAGGTGGATGAGGGTCAGGGGAGGGGAGCAGCAGGGTTGTAGGGAGGAAAGGGCTGTACTAGCTGGCTCTCTCACTAGACAGTGTGTCTTGCTGGGGACCTGGGTGGGGGAACCTCTGTCCACTGTACCAGAGGTGCCTGTGTCCTGGGACTAGTGGGAGCCAGGCTCTCTGCCGCCCACGTGGGGTTGTTCACGTGTCGTGGGGTGTAGATGGTCTCGGTGGGTCCAGAAGCTGAGTGCTGTTTGTCTGGTAGCTGCTGAAGATGGCCTTTGACGAGGAGGTGGGCTCCGACAGCGCCGAGCTCTTCCGCAAGCAGCTGCACAAGCTGCGCTACCCTCCGGACGTCAGGAGCACCTTTGCCTTCACTGGGGGCTCCACTCACACGCCTGGCCGGCCGGCCCGGAACATCAAAGACAAGGGGCCCTCACTCAAGTACGGGCTCGGCAGGGGAGGGGGGTCGACTTGGCTCGGGGACGGGCTCGGGCCCGGGGACCGGCTGGGCTGGGGGAGAATG